CTTCAAGAGTACACTCTTTGAAATTTTTATCTCTTTCTTATAAAGTACAAATTTAAGTATAAAAAATATATATTTATATATTATATATTATTTATATATCTTTTTATATTCTACATACTGAAGAACTTCCCACTGCGCTTCTTCAACCTCTTTTTCATAGGCCTCAGCAATCCTTTGGTCTCTATTTTAACGGAGTAGATATAATAAACTGCTTCAAGAGTACACTCTTTAAGATTCTTATCTCTTTCTTATAAAGTACTGATTTAATAATATATAATATAATATTATTTATATATCTTTTTATATTCTACACACTAAAGAACTTCCCACTCAGCTTCTTCAACCTTTTTTTTATAGGCCTCAGCAATCCTTTGGTCTCTATTTTAACGGAGTAGATATAATAAACTGTTTCAAGAGTACACTCTTTAAGATTCTTACCTCTTTCTTATAAAGTACTAATTTAAGTATAAACAATATATTTATATATTATATATTATTTATATATCTTTTTATATTCTACATACTGAAGAACTTCCCACTGCGTTTTTACCCCTCTGTTTCACCCCTCTGATAACTGCAATACGATCATAGTCGGATATCCTTTACAGTCTGATGGCTGAGATTTTCTCAACTCATAACTAAAAGATGGTTTTCGTGTAAGACTTGATTATATACTGTGGTTTTAGATGCTTTCCACCAACAAAAAGAAATTTATTTATTACTGTTTTATTTATTTATTAACAAAATATAATAATAATAATAATCTATTAATGTAAATATTGCATTATGTTATTTCCTAATATTTCCAAATATAATTAGGCTTATTATTTTTATTTGTATTTTTTTCCCCACTAAATTGCTCTTAACCATTCTACAACACAAAACTGTTATACAAAAAAAAAGATCAAGTTGTTCTACTGGTCCCTTTCAAAAATCAATTGCTTTTACCTCTATACATTTAACTGTTATATTCCATTAACGGTACCATCTTCGTTAATATTAAAAAAGAATTGCAATAAAAAGACAACGTCCATATTAATTACAACAACATTAACTTTAATAGGCACAAGAAAATTTAACGAACATATTTTTCAGTTGCCGATTAACTTGCGTCGTGTTTAGTCGTGGAAAAAGAGAAAAAAGTGTAAATAGTTTTCCAAAGATCATTAATATTCAATATTAAGTTTTAAAAGTTTGAATTTGATCATTAAATAGTTAAATGTAATAATGTTTAAATAATAATTTTGGATTATAAGAAGGATATATTTTTTATTAACAAAATAAATGTGTGATGCAATACTTTTTGTGGATTTAAAATTTAGTGCGTGCAATAAATTTTTTTTTTGCTTATAAAAAAGGAGTAAAGTGTGAAACAAAATGGAATTAAAATAAAAACACAACAACAAAAATAATTCAAGCAAGCATCAAGTTAGAGTTTGACGTTGATTTAATCGTTGTAAATGATAGGCAATATTCACCCTTTATAAAAAGTGGAGAATGCGAGCGTAGATCAAATGAGAACACCAGTGCAAAGTTGTTAGTAAAGTTAGATTTATCTGCGTAAGTAGTTTAACTATTTTTATATATATATATTTATTTTATTTTTTTTTTGTTAGAAAATAATTAATTTAAACATAATATTTAATTTTTGAGTGTTTAAGAAAAGTAAAAATATTTCTAACTAGTATTCTACAGTCTGATCAATACTCATTACCAAAAAATAATACATTATTATTTGGACACATAAATATTTAATATTTATAAAAATTTATAAATACTTTAAAAGTTATATTAGTAAAATGTATTTATTTTTTTATGATAATTTGAATGAAGTCTCTTTATTAAAATTTACAATAATGAATAATTAATGAAATCAAATAATTTGTAAAAATTAATTCAATTTTTAGAGTTCACTATTAGTATCATCTACTAAAAAATTATATATAAAGTCTCCACAATGTAATATTCTCTTAAATATAACATATAACAACTTGTAATTTTTAATGTAATCAAAGTAGTGTCATATATTGGACATATAATAATATGGTAAAACTATACTAATCCGGTTTCAATAAATTTGGACTTAACCCGGAGATTATTGAGATACTTGGACTTTGAGAGTTATATTAGAAGTCCACTATTTATATATATAAGTCACAATTTTTAATAAAAACAACGATTTTTGATTTTTCTTATAAAATTTTATTTAATACTTCACGCTATGCAAGCTTAACTTCAACTACCTTAAAGTTTTTTTCTGCTTCGAGCAGTAAGTTCTATTTTATTCAATTTAATAGTGTTGAGAGAGAGCTTGCATGTCACTTATATATATATATATATTTATTTGTATATATATTTATATATATATTTATTTGTGCAACTAAAATTAATAATTTCCTGCATTCAATAATTAATTGATATATTCACATAATAAATGACAGACTAATTTAGCAAATAGTAAACAAAGCCGAATAAAACATACATACGTATATATACATAGACGTATATATATATCACTAAACCATAAAGCAGGCACAATATATTATTAACATTTATGAAAACTAAAAACACGTTTTTATATTTATTTTAATATATTGTTAAATATAATAGTATAAACAGTATAAATCAAATTATATAAAAATAAAATGTTATGCATATTATATGTGCAGCGCTCGCACATACTTACTTGCCGCGTTTCTCAAACAGACTGGCTTCTTTATTTTTATATCATATATACTATGCATTTTCTAATTTCATCCGAATTACAAGAGAATCCACATTATCGACAATGTACGAAGATCTACTGTATATATTTTTCTGTTCTGCGTAATCTTGATGCTCTTCGAATTTATTTTTGTACTTTCACTTGAACTTGTTTTGTTCGTTGCCAATAATGGGGAATTTTAGGGCTTCGTGGATTTTCTAATATTGTATACCATATACCGAAAGCCACTTGTAATTGAAAGAAACATTTTACATTATGTACACTGGATACTGGTTGAGCAAGCATTGACCCATTGACCCATTCTCTATACCTAGACAAATTTCTTTAATATTGTAAATAATACTTTGTAATATAAATTAGTTCTGTTTACGAAAAGCTTTTGAAGGATCAAAACACACATTTTCAAATATAATAGTAAAATTTGTATTGAACCCATAATTTCCCAGTATCAAAGCAAAGAGAATATTAAAGAATCATTTTGAGGCGCTCCTACAATTATTATAAACAATTAATCAAATCTTAAACAAAAACAAATATATATTATGATGCTAATGGATGTTGGCGGTATTGTTATTGCCAGCCTGAACGCCATCCTGGTACAAAGTACTATACTTTCATCTGACTTCCAAGAATTTCCTGTGCATTTTAGAACCAACGTTATTGTTGGCAACTAAAAGAGCGAATGAATTCTGAATGAATTCGTTTATTTGAAAATTATTTTAAACGCCAAAAACAAAGTCAGCCAATGCATTGAATTAAAAAACAATGTTGACGTTACATACTACTTCGGGCTTAATGGGTAACTGAAAGTCAATACCCACTCAAGACAATACAAAACGTATGCGTTACATATTTCTTATAATATCTGCCATACTGCATAGTACAGAAGTCCGACCAATAACTTAAGATGATGAGAAGATATTAGGAGTAATTCCTTAGTTAATTATTAAAAGACATTCTTTAATTACTGCAAAAAAGCAATTTTCATATGTTTATTGATAAAATTGTTTAGCTTTTAGTTTATATATATTATTTTATAAATATATCTTAACTATTATCAAATGCACTTCTTTTTAATTTGATATCAAATCGGCATATATATTAAAGTATCTGTGTTTATGTATATGCTTAGGTGTGTGTGTGTTTGTGTGTATACAATATTTCGAAAAATTCTCTTAGGTACAGTTTATAACAAATTTTAACAGCATAAATTAATTACAATAAAATATACAAAAGTATAAAAAATATAAATTTAAAAAAAATTAAAAATAAAAATTAAGAACAGTAAAATTATAATTATAATTAATCTTATATTTGCGTACGATTAGCAATTAGTAATAATACAAATGACTATAGATCTAGAAATGACATATATAAATTACCGTGTATAAATATCTTAAGATCTATAAATGAGATTTTAATAGCCCGCAACACCTCCTTGTTTGCGATAATCTGCATTTGCGTATACTGCTGTGCTGTTCCTCACTATGCCACAAACAACCGAACCAATATATTTATATGGCTTTACTTGATGTCCTTTGTCACGCAATAGTTTGAGTGTTTCCTGTATATAATTATATTGTTATAATATTTATATTAATTACAAATAAAATAAAACTATAATCCACTTTTACCTCACTAAAACCTTCGTTTTCATATTCCAATATATTTGGCATCAATTGATGATGGAAACGCGGCGCATCAATAGCTTCTTTAATATTCTGATCGAACCATAAAACACGTGCCGCTACCTCAACAACAGCAGATATAATTTTAGAACCGCCAGCAGCACCAAATACCATGCGTATATCACCAGCCGGATCCGTGAGAATCATTGGAGACATTGATGACATTGGACGTTTACGTGCGTCAATGTAATTGCTGGGTGCCGCTGGTAGTCCAAAGTAGTTTGATGTATTTGGTATGGAAAAGTCATTCATACAGCTATTAAATATAATACCAGTACGTTTTCCGGCCTGACCAGCACCAAAGCTGTTTGAAAATAGTATTGAAATAAATAAAAAATAAATTTAATAAAATTATTCCATTTTTTATAAAATTAGTAAAAATGATAGACACTCACTAGTCATTTACAGAACTTGTTATCGAGACTGCATCTCCATTAGGTGCCAAAATTACAGCTTGTGAGGTGCCGACATCATCAACACCTAAATATTGTGCACCATACTCATATATACTGTTGAGTACACTGGAGTCATTGATTTGTGCGCTTAATGCAGTATTATACTCAGGTGTAGTTAATTTACTAACAAGCTAATATATGATATATATTAAAAATGATATATTAATTAACAATTAAAAACAAAAATATTAATATAATAATTTTATACCTCCCGCACATCGTTGAATCTTAAGTCACCAAGTTCCCAACGCTTAGCAAAGCCAAACTTCAAAGCTTCCACGATGCGATGTATTGTTAGTGCTTCGTCTTTGACATCTGCTAAATCAGCTTTGGTAAAATTGAAGTTCTCCAAAATGCTGAGCACATTCGCCACCACACTGCCACTACTAATAGGTGGTACGGAGTATAGCGTATCATTACCCAATTGCATGGTTATGGAGCTAACTAAGTCAGCAACATATGTTTCTAAA